GTGACACAGCTAGAAAGTAGTGGAGGTGGGATTTGAACTAGGCTTATCTGACCTCAGAGACTACACTCTTTGAGGAAATACGTAAGGTAAAAGAGGTCAATGTAGTAGGAAGTAAGGGGTGGACCAGCTGCCCTGGACATTGGCTATTTGTGCCTCCTTTATCTCATGGCGCACCTCATTTTACCTTCCTCTGCCCACAGCCCGAATGCTACTTGGGCATCCACCCTGCCTCACTCTTAGGCCCATGGTCTGGTTCTCAGCAGTGGAGCATGTATCCCAGGCCTGTGCCAATCAGCATGTGTGTTCCCTGGCCATGCTGCATGGTTTAGTGTGTAAATGTGATCTAAGCCTGTTTAATCATAATAGATATCTGGACATGAACTCTGCTCTTTCCTGCTAGACTGAAACTGGATGATATTAAGTTTGGGGCTACTGCAGCTATTCTGCCACCTAGATCTGTCCGGGACCACCATATGGAGTTCAAGAATGAATTCAGAAGTGGGCACAGCCCAGAGATTGACTTATAATGATATTGTCTGAGCCTTAAACCCAGCTGTTTCTAAAGCTAGATCTATTCTGAACTTTCCAGTTACATAAATCAATTCATTCCCCCCTCAAGGTAAATCTGTCTGCATCTTCTGTAACCTTGCAATCAGGAGTCCTACTACACCACATTCATACAGAAAGCATCTGCCCATATGACTAAGCATGGAAGCATTTGGGTGAGAGTCAAGGAGAGGAGAGAACAAAGCACTACTACTTGGCCGCCCCCTTAACAGTGACGCAAGTTTTCTAATGCAGATCACCAAACTGGAGGAAAGGGAAGGTTTAGTTCGGCCTGACAAATAATTCTAACTAACCAAATGTCTGAACATCTTATTCTGGAAAAAACCCCCACAAAACAGAACATTTACTAAAGTCTGGATTTGCTTCGCTGACAATTTCATCTCTCATAAAATTAAAAGGAAATGATTTGCTGCCTTTATTCTGACTCAGAAGGTAGAACAAACTGTGATTTTTAAAAATATATGTATCTTTTTACTGATTTCAGAGAGGAAGGGAGAGGGAGAGAGCTAGAAACATCAGTGATGACAGAGAATCACTGATCACCTGCCTCCTGCATGCCCCAACTGGGGATTGAGCCTGCAAGCCGGGCACATGCCCTGACCAGAAATCGAACCGTGACCTCCTGGCCCAAAGGTCGATGCTCAACCACTGAGCCCCGTCAGCCAGGCAAACTGTTCGTTTTTTAAAAGGAAAACATGATTATGGTACTTTAAGAGTTTATTAAGAGCATAATAAGAACAAATCCTAAAAGTTCAGAGGAAACCTAGGGACAATACAAAATTCAGAGCCTGAGACCCTAAAAGGGAAGGCAGCCTGAGAGAAAACAAATGGAGCCCTCCCAAACCAAAATCTGGTCGTTAATTATAAATTTTCAGGTAAGGAAAAGTAAAATACAGGTTGGGGCAAAAGTAGGTTTATAATTACCAATAATGCAATTAATAAATAATAATACAAGAGTAAACTCTGTGTTTCACATACTCACAACTGTAGGCCTACTTTTGTCCTACCTTGTATATCCAAATCTCAGCTAGCAAATTAATCCTGAATGGCTCGAGGCAGACATGACTTACTAATCACAGCGCCTTTTCTTATTAAGCCCAATTTCATTCTCCAGTTATCTCTGACCCAGTGCCCTAGTCAGCCACGATGAATTGACCAAAGCTGGGACACAAGAATGCACCCAGTTTCCACTGCTGGTCTAAAGAAACCAGCGTAACAACACAGAGGGCTCTCAGATTCCAAGTTCTAAAAGGACATGCAAGCCATGGCCGGTTTGGCTCAGTGAATAGAGCGTCGGCCTGAGGACTGAAGGGTCCCAGGTTCGATTCTGGTCAAGGGCATGTGCCTTGGTTGCGGGCACATCCCCTTGTGGGGGGTGTGCAGGAGGCGACTGATCGATGTTTCTCTCTCATTGATGTTTCTAACTCTCTGTCCCTATCCCTTCCTCTCTGTAAAAAATCAATAAAATATATTAAAAAAAATAAAATAAAAGGACATGCAAGAGAAATGAAGGTGGGGACAAAATCAAACACAGATCCACAGTGGAATGGGCCATGTGAATGATGGCAAAAAGGGTAAAATCTAGAAAGAGCTAATGCTTGTTCATTTAAAGCAAAACAAAACAAACTTTCTATTTTTTGAAGAATTAAAATAAAGGAGGGGTGGGCTTAAAAAATATGAGACATAGGTATCTGCTTGGGGAAGATGACACAACTTAAATTAAGCTGGATTCTTCAACTTCTAGATTCAGTTCCTTGTTTTCATTAAGAAAAAGGATCTACACCATGAAAAGGAGAACCACCTTGGTTAAAAAAGACGGAGAGCCCAAGATGGGGAGGAAGATGGGAGAGGCCCATTCTCCAGGGGCTGAGCTCCAGGCCCAGCCACCAGCATCCCAGGGCCCTAAGGGAAGGCGGAGATGGGCTCAATAAACCTCTCAGGTGACCTCTGGGGAATCAAAGAGAACAGGCAAATGCTGGAATACTGGAGACTAGCAGATAGCATCCCGATTTCCAAAAGAGGAGAAAACAGATTCCATTAACCACAAAACTGGAGAGCCTACCCCCAACCCCTGCAGGGAGGTAAGCCACATTCTCTGCGAGGCAGGTTTCCGAGCAGGTAGGAAAGGAAGCGCTATGACAAAAGCAAGTGCAGTAGGAAAATGGGCAGAGCACAGGCACCGGCAAGTCACTGAAGAGGAAATACAAGTGGCCAATAAATAGAAAAGATACCTCAAATCATGGAAACACACATTAAATAATCAAATACTATTTACCTATGCAGCAGCTCAGCAAAAATTTTAAAAATTGGTAATATCAAATATTGGCAAAGATTCAGGGAAATGAGCACTCGTTAGTGAAACATACAGCTTTCTTTAAGTGGCATTTTGGTGATACTGATTAAAAATTAAAATACACTGTATTTTGACCCAAGAATCTGAAAGACTTACACAAGCAGAAGCTTGTAGAAAGTTTTCCATTAAAAGACTATTTATTACAGTAAAAGATGAGAGAAAAACTATTCCAAGTTTGAATACAATATGCTTAAATACAGTGCTTAAATACAGTATGGTACTATGAAATATCCTACAACAGTCAAAACATAAAGTCGATCAATATACACTGACATAAAATGATTAAGATGTGATCATTCATACTTTAAAAAAGCACAAAAGAGCCTGGCTGGCATGGCTCAGTGGTTGAGCGTTGACCTGTGAGCCAGGAGATCAGGGTTCGGTTTCTGGTCATGGCATATGCTCAGGTTGCGGGCTCAATCCCCTAACCTGGTAACAGAGATGACCTTGGGAAGGTGATTGAGAATGTCTTTGTCTTTACCTTTTAGCATTTTTTAAAATAAGAGATCTTCATTTACTGTATAGTTAAATATATATATATTTAACAAACAGAAATATACACACACACACACACACACACACACACACACAAAAGTAGGACACAGTGAGTATTGGGGACCAGCAAGTGCACTGGAAGATGTGTCAAGCCCAAAATGTGTCATCCCTTCTCCTGGGATGACAAAGGAATTGCCAATTGGCACTATGAATAGAGTGCCCACAGGCTAATCCTGGACACAGTAGGATGGCTCAGGCTAGATGTCAATGCTAGAGGTACAGTCAAACTTGACCATAGTTGAGAGTTACTGATTCAGGACCCATGTGGAAACTTCCAGGACAGTCTTTGGTCCTGTCCTATTCAACATATTCATTCATCCTCTCAGCCTCTCACTCATTCAACAGACATTTGTATCATCATGCAGAAGACACCAAGATGATCTCTGCCTATAGCCTAGGATACTGAGAAAAATAAAAAAATAAAAAAACAGCATGACAAATGCTTGACTGAGGTGTTGTGGAAGCTCCAAGGGTAGGGCCTGACCCCAACCTGGACACTTGAAGGAGGTCACCATCTATACCAAAGGTCTGTTCACCTAAAGCAGTGGTTCTCAACCTTCTGGCCCTTTAAATACAGTTCCTCATGTTGTGACCCAATCATATAATTATTTTCGTTGCTACTTCATAACTGTAATGTTGCTACTGTAATGAATCATAATGTAAATATCTGATATGTAGGATGGTCTTAGGTGACCCCTGTGAGGGTCGTTCGACCACCAAAGGGGTCGCGACCCACAGGTTGAGAACCGCTGAAGAGAGCATGAAGCTAGGAAACACCACTAACACCCCTAATCTCATACCTGTGAACTGGAAAAGGTGGACAAGCTAAAACACACCATGAGAAATCCATTTGCAGTCACCGAACAATCCCACCTTTAGGCTGCTGGAGGTCCCTTTTGTTTTGAGGCCTCACCAAACGAAGACCATTGTCCAAGAGGCCTCTAAGCAGAGCAAGGTGTCCAGATGGCGAAGAAGGGCACCCGTATCACATGAGGACTGGCTAAGGGCACACCCTGAGTTTTCCGGGGCCACCCAACTCTCTCCGGGAGCCAACCACAGCCAACAGGTTCAGGAATTTCCAAGATCCCTGACTGTCCCCTCACTTTGCCCACTGGAGGGAAGCGGCAGCTGGAAGATAGCATGGTGGGCAGTCTGTGGCACAGTTTGCAAGATCCTTTTTGCCCTCTCTCTCCTCCCCAACTGGTGTCCCAAGACTGTCCCTCCTACCACACAGAGGAGAAGAAAAAAGGAAGCACGCCAAGGTCCAAGGCTGTGTGCCTGTGTACTCCGGGCCGTCATGTCACTCTCCCAGGCCTCTGTATAATGTGAGTGGGCTAGCCCGCTCCCAGAGGACCTCCCGGCTGTGACAGGCAACACGTGTTGCATTCTTCTCCCAGAATTCAAAGAGAGGGCAATACTTAATACCAGTGGATTCACGGTGGGTCTTGGGGCACTCGGGAGTTCTTATTTGGGTCCCCATCCTCAGGAGGAAGCACTCTGACAGGGACTTTCCGCTGGGACTGACCTCTTCAATGACGACCGCGACAGCACCTGCGCGGCCTGGTTCATGGCCCTGATCCAGGCGTTCATGTCCTCCAGGGTGTCGGCACTGAAGTAGTAGGTCCTCATGCCCGACTGCTCGGCCTGAGAGCCCCCGGCAGAGGTGTTATAGATGAGCGCTCGCATCCCCAAGTGCACAGCCTGCAGGAAGGAGAGGGAAACCCGGGACAGAGAGGTTAGCGCACATTTCACTTCCAGGAGCAAAAACAAGGAGACGCTGGACCACGTTCTCCCCTCTTCCGGACTGAAAGCCCAGGCCCCACCCACTTGTCTCCACACCTGGAAAACGCCACAGCTGGATTCCCCCTCTCAGTGCAGTCAGGCCCAGGGACCACTGTGCCTACCCCACCACGGGAAAGCCGCGCAGGTGTCACCTGTTTCTGACTTATCTTACTCATGCCTGTAAGGAGGGACACACACCCAAGGCTTACGTGAGAAAGGCTTTAAATAAACCCTCATTCCCTGGAAGCCGACTCTCGGGAATCCCTGTTTTGGTTCTTCTGAAGCACACAATTACTGGAATTGAGTCAAAACTCAGCCGCAACAGCAGGCAGCTGGGTGCAGTTATTCACTGCGCTTCGCAGCTTGGGCATGAAATATGCTGTTGCCAATCAAAGAGCCGCTGTTCCGTCTCTCCCAAGAGGCACTACAAAGTTGGACAGATATAACATCTGACTGAAAATCCCTGTGTACCTACTATGTGCTAGGAAGCCTCGGGGTGCTTTCCCAGATATCCTTGCAAAGAGCCTGTGAAGAGGCACCAGGAACGGCCTCTGAGAAGCACCTGGGACAGTTTCCAAACGAGGGGCAAGACATGTCCTGGACCTTCAGGCCATTGCCTATGGCTGGAGGGAACATGTAAGATGGGAGCGGCTAAAAAAGGGGCTGAAGAGATAAGCTGGGGCTTTGTAAACCAACACTGGGCTTTATGCTGTAGGCAGTGGGGAGCCACTGAAAGGCTGATGGTGGGAGCACCACCTGAACAGATGTGCAACCTAGGAGCAGTGCAGAGGATGGACTGGAGACTGCAGAGGGGACTGGGGGTTAAAGCCAACACTACGGAGCACTTGCTATGCAACAGGCAGTGAGTAGGTTACCTAGGGGAGGGGCGATGGATGCTGAGACAGACCAGTGACCGTGACAGTGGAGAGGAAGAGATGGATTTGAAAAAGACGCAAAATAAAATTGAAGTGGGAGAGGAAAGGGGCAGCTTTCATTTTCTCTTCTTATTCCCTAATAACCCCCAGGCTGATGCAGAGTCTAGAACAGCGGTTCGCAACCTGTGGGTCGCGACTCCTTTGGCAGTTGAACGACCCTTTCACAGGGGTCGCCTAAAACCATCCTGCATATCAGATATTTTCATTACGATTCATAACAGTAGCAACATTACAGTTATGAAGTATCTCAGCCCCAGGAAGGCAAGGACTTTGTCTTTCTCACTGTTGTATCCCCAGGATCTACATCCTGCCAAGTGAAACCATGAACAGAACACAAGATTGTTGAATATAAATAGGTAAAACACCTCATCTCTTGGATGGCGTTCAGCTAGAATTCAGCAGGGGGTCTTAATTTGAGGGGAGGTGCAGGGGGAGGCACATGAAACCTTTGACAGTTTGATGAATCCTGGGAACTCTTCTCAGCATGTTTTTAAGTATACAATTAAAATAAAGGAAATATATTATGTTGAAATATCATTATCAAATATTTTTAACTATTATGAGGTAGTGATACAGGTGCTTCTTTAATAATACACCATAAAGCAAATGTAGGAATAATTACTGTCATTTCAAGGTGGGGATGCTCATAAATGATATCTCAAGATATTTACAGCAATTATAATGTGACGTGAGCATCTTTCTGATTTCTAGTGGTGACCAAGGCACAGGTGCTGCTGATACCTATTAAGGCCTACTTTCTTAACCAAAGGAAACGCTATAGGTTAAAAAAGGGAAGATATGATTTATCCACTGACACTATGGGGTCTGCAGACTCAGGTCAGTTCCCCTTGGTCTTGAGAGAGGGAGAACGGCTCAAAGGAGAGGGTTAAAGCATTTTCCCACTGAAGATCCTTGGACCTTTGGCTGAGTGGGGATGTTTTCTGCTCCAGATCCTGGACCCGAAGGGCCAAGCTTGCTCAGAGGTGACCAAGAGGCCGAGGGTGGCCGTGCATCCAACAGATCTTTGGGGAGGCGCCCCAGCTGAGCCAGCAGAGCAGGCGGATGTCTGAGAGAGCCTGGCTTGGCTCACCCTGCAGATCTGGCTGTATTCAGGGTACATCTAGCATCCAGCATCCCTGGTCACAACTAGGGACTGCCAGGCTACAGACACAGTAGGGGGGGGGGGGCAGGGAAGACCAGGAGAAGACCATAAAGCCTTTCAGGCTGTGCCTATCCACCACTACAACTAAAGCTGAATGATCTCAAGCAAGGTGCCCTAGCAACACTCAGAGAATTCCAGCTCCAGAAATAGAGAAGAACTGACATTAGAAACAGGCTAAGGCCCTTGACACCAAATACTGTCCATTCCTCAGTATGCCCAAGAACATGGATCCTGCCTTGCCCAGGGGACACCCCATCTGACCTCTAAAAGGGGAAAGAGATGCTGTAACCCAAAGGGAAAGGATACCCTTTCATACTCAGGAAAGCACAGTCCTTTCTGGAGAATCAGCTGAATACCACCAGGTCTGCCGGCAGTAGCTTTTCTCTGCTCTCAGACCCTAAGGGTCTCTCCTAAAAGCCCCTCCCCCAGCACATTCATGTCTGCTATCTCGCAGACAAAAAGATTTTTCTTAGTAGAGTCTAAGAAAATAATTTTAAAGAAAAGAATCTATGACACATAAAAGATGTTTTCCTAGAATCTATTTTCACAACTCCCCAGAAAGTGTTAAGATGGAATATAAATAGATATGATCAGTTACTTTGAGACTATTCCAGATGCTATCCCCCCCAAAAATCACATACAACATCATTACCCAGATTGCTTGCCCAAAAGCAACACTTGACCCTAGAAAGAAAGGTTTTCTAAGCAAAAGACCAGCCTGAAACCCATTGAACAAACGGGTTTCAGAGCCCACAATAAGCAGGAGAGACTTTTGAATGATTAAAGAGAAGACTATGCTAAAATGATAACAATGAACATTAAGTCTAATCACCTCGCACCCCTGACCATGTGCGTGCAGGAGGTAACCAAAATAAGAGGAAGAGAAAGAAACTGTCTGCCCTCCCTGGAATTCAATGGAAAGAGGATTTAGTTCAGGTTCGAGGTCTGTCTCCATCATCTTCCAGCCCTGTGATTTTGGGCAAGTGTCTTCTGCGCTCCAATCCTATAAAATGAAGCTAATAATACTGACCTCACCAGCTCCCCACAAGCACTCCATGAGCTAACATGGATAAAAGCACTTCTCAAATCATCAGAGGTCCTGCAGACATAAGGCAGTACCACATAATGCAACATGAAGTGGGAGAGCATCCAAGAATCAAACCATCACAATTCTGGAGTCATGAGGAGAGTGACAGGGGAGAGGCAGACAGCTCACACCTGTCGATGAACAAAGCTGAAGCATAAGCTCGGGAATGAGGTGGGGGAAAATGAGACCTGACTTTTCAACCACCACAGTGGACCCCAGATCAAAATGCCGATGCAGACGATCACTTGCCAATGACGCCTTTGGACACTGCATACCAACACTTCCCTTTAATCCTCCCAGAGAACAGAAGGTGTCTTTTCGTGTGCTTTCCATGGTCCTTTAATGATCTGTGGCTGGAAAACTTGACTTTTTTTTTTTTTTTTTTTTTTTTTTTTTTTTTTTTTTTTTTTTTACAGAGAGGAAGGGGGAGGGATAGAGAGTTAGAGACATTGATGAGAGAGAAACATCAATCAGCTGCCTCCCGGACACCCCCAATTGGGAATGTGCCGCAACCAAGGTACATGCCCTTGACCGGAATCGAACCTGGGACCCGTCAGTCCGCAGGCCAACGCTCTATCCACTGAGCCAAACCAGTTAAGGCTTGACTTTCGTTCAACCTCCTCTTTAGTAACTACTGCCTAGTACTCTTCTTGTACCCCCAACATGGAAATAGCCAAGCTATATAAGTAGTGTAAGCAGGAGCCCAGACCCCAGCTTGAATGCATGTCACTGCCTCGTGTCCTGAGCAGCGTGAAAAGTGTTCCCCGTGGTTCCTGGCACCAGCAGCCACTTGCTTCAGTGAGACTTCCACTCCAACTGCCAATAATGTTGACCTTCAACGCACCCACCCTCACCATCCCCAGGAATCCAAGAAATATCAGCAGTGGAGGAATTGTGGAGGCCACTGAAAGAGAGGGCCTCAAGGTTCCCCAAGTTTGGGCCTGACCACACCTTCCTGGAGTCTCCACATCTGGCTGTGAAGATGCCAGAGGCTGTCAAAGGATGGCCATCATTTATGGCGATGAAGGAAATAGAAAAGGGGTTTTACGGCTAAACGGATCTCCCTAGGAAACTCCAATGATCCAGAAAGTAAGCCAAATTTGATTCTACTTGCTTTTCGACAATATAAACAAAATGGCCAAACCTGAAAATCTCTTCAACAGGCAGGCCCCCTGACCCTCATTGTAAATGTTCATAATATAACTGATATAAATCCATCACGAGGGACCATCCTTTGCACTAAATGGCTGGATGCTAGTTAGACTGGCTGTTCACAGTGATAAGAAAGCAAGAGAAGGGCTGTGTCCAATCTGCCATCACAGGACTAACAGAGAGAGGAAGAGAGGGGTCTAAATATTTGAGCGAGGCTGGGGGACTCAGCAGCTCCGATACAAATGAAAGCACTTGTCATGTGATATTACTCGTGTGTAAAGAATTTATAACTGCTAAGATGAGGGAAACGCTCTAGCTTAACTTCTTCCCATTCCCCAGAGAGAGAACTGCTTTTAATACAGCCGTATGTGGGAACACAGCTTCCCGGGATGGCGTCTGAGCCCCAGAGGAGCGGGGGCAGTACCTTAAAGGAATACTTGCGACTTATGCGGTCCTCAGGGCCCACCGGCGATGTGAAGTAGCTGGGCAGAGGAATGCTCCCGAGGACCACTTCTTCTCGGCTGTCTTTGGACAGAAAAACACATCAGAATAGCCTTCTGTGGCACCTCCCTTGGGCTGGTCACCCCACTGCCCTAGCTCAGGGCTCCTCTCTCTCCCCAGGATGACGGCATTCACTGACAGGCCATGCAGCTGTTCCCCTGGGACCTCTGTTCTTATGCTAGAACTACAGGTGAATCAGGCTGGGCCCTCTCCCGCAGGGCTGAAACACACATGTAAACACACTCAACTGCTAACTCCTGAAACACAACATATGCCAAGTGCTGCGGGAACAGAGGCAGGGGTGACACAGAGTTTGAGGATGTCGCGACTTCAGAAGGTCATATGTAAAGTGTCTTCAAGGATGGGGAAGGGCGTTCTGGATGGAGCAAACCTCACAGGTAGGTGTGAGGCATCCTACCTTCTACCTCCATCCTCCTCCTCCTCCTCCTAATCATCTTCACACCACAGGCCACTTCCTGACGACAGTGTTCCTGTCTCTCTCCTACTGAAAGGCACTTTGGACACAGAATGAAGCCAACTTCCTTTACCTGGTGTCACAGCCCTTACCCACCTCCTGAGCCTCATCTCCTGGTACAGCCTCCATTCAAGACTCACTCTGGCCTCACAGGTCTGTCACTCCACTTTCTTCTGTTTCTAGAACTTTTACTGAAGTTATTTCCTCTGCCAGTAATGTCCATTCTCCGCCTTCTCCCTACCCCACCCTCCCCCACACACAAGCAAAGCAGTACCTATCCTTCAAAGCCCAACTCAAGTCCTCTCTCTTCTCAGAAGCCTCCCCACATGCTCCCACATGCAATTAACTCCTTACTCCCCCTAAACTGCCCAAGCACTTTGGATACCTTTTAAAGCACCTTTAACTCCCAATCTTGTTTTAAAAGTAGGCTATCTCTTCCTCCACACTTTGAGGCATACCTTCCTTCTCACTGCTGCACAGCCTACCTCTATGTACTGGGGCTCCATAAATGTTCATACGGCCAACTCAATCCACCAGTTGTCCATCCAATATCCCAGTGGATAAATCCAGATAACAGGTTACAAAATACGATGTCTACCTATACTTCCCATCTCTCCAGATGACGTCAAAGGTGTGCTTGTGTCCTGAGTGGGGCAGAAGCTGACACAACTGCAGATCCTGAGACCCTAAGTAGTAGCACACTAGATCCTATTTATTTTAACGCAATAAATGGAACTTCCAGAGCTGGGACTTGCAAAAAATGATGTCACCAACCATCCATATATGTAAAAGTGAACACCTCAGCAGATCAATAGGTTACTAATTAGCTCAGTCACTGACTCTGAGACGACCACATTTACATCACCTCACCACCCCCTCCAGCACAGAGCCCACGGTGGCTCGAGCCTCAGCTCACCTTTATAGTAAAACAAGCAATAATCAGCAAGCACAAACCACCTCCTTTTCCACAGCCTCATCCCAGAACTGTCCTGCAAAGCAAAGAAAAAGAATCAGGACAGTGTCTGAGCACACTGTTCCCCCTCCCCAATCTTGACTTGCCCATAGTCACTCTTTCAAGAAATTAATAAATTTTTATTTTACAGACATTCTTTCACTAGGAAATTAAATTTTAGATTCAATGATGGTTGAGCCCTAGGAAGTTTTTTTTTCTTTCCTGGAAACAGATTCCTATATTATAAGCATCCTTTTAGAAAGAAACATATGGATTCAAAAATACAGTTCTTCATTTAAGAATGAAATCAGCTTTTAAGAAAAAGTTTTGTTTAATTAAATGCTATGCTGTAAAATGCTTTCACTTAAGCTGATTAGAAAACCGATTTACGCATTATGAAACCAAGAGGTTAGGTTAGCTAACTAATCAATGAAGCAAGTTCTCATTTGATTAAGTTCAGTTCTCCACCAGAGAGACTGATTTTGTTTCTACCCTAAGCGACTGTACTTTCCTTCCATTCAATGTAAAGCGACTTGGATTTTCTTGCTATCAAATTGTTTCATTAATAAGAATCTGTCTTTACTCTTCTAAAATGTAAATTGTTATATTTATGAAATATTTTTAGGTGAATGTGAAAATTTTTAAGAAGATATAATCACAGTAGGAAAATAGCAGTGTTTTAGTATCAGTTTATTCCCAAACCTAGGAAAATTCCAGAGCCTTTTTAGCTGTTAAAATTGTGTTCCTTCTGCAAGAGTTTTTGACAGGTTTAAATTTTTTTTAAAAAGCCGAGCTGGCATGGCCCACTAGTTGAGTGTCAACCTATGAACCAAGAGTTCATGGTTCGATTCCCAGTCAGGCACATGCCTGGGTTGCAGCCTCAATCTCCAGTGTGGGGCGTGCAGGAGGCAGCCGATGGATGATTTTCTCTCTCATCAGTGATGTTTCTCTCTCTCTCTTTCCCAACCCTTTCTCTCTGAAATCAATAAAAATATACATATTTTTTTAAACTGGACAGTTTCTAAACCTAACAACATGAAGTCTGTTCATTCTCTACTTACTAAAGTGCTAAAAACAAATTTAATTTACTGAGTTCATACATTTCTTGGTTTTATTTTTTGCATTGACCAGATAATTTCTAAGCATATGATGGTTGCTTTGTTTGGAAAACTCCTCTCCACCCTTCCATACCTGGTTCAAACATCACTTCCTCTGGGAAGCCTTTCAGGATTCCCCCAGCACAGCTACATTCTCTCTGCTGTGTCCACAACAAGCTACACACACCTCTGTTACAGTCACAGCAGAGCCAAGTGGCTAGGGGGTGGGGCCTGGGGAGAATTATTTATAATTCCTTCCTTCTCCCTCCACATTTCAAAGGAGCATTCTTTTATTTAATGGGCACAGAGATGCAAATGGAAAAAGTCAGAGGGTTAAATTACTCAGGGGAGAAAAGAGATGAAGGGAAGTAAGAAAGAAGAGTGAGAACAGAGTTGTGAGGGGAGGGGTATCCTTAAGAGAGAGGTGGCGCCAGAGGAGTGGTGACATAAGAGGCTGGAGAGATGTGGGAGTTGCCATGGGGATCAGAACTGGGGAGACAGATTTCATGGGGACTTTTATGGATTTCTTCTGTGTGGTGTGCAATGTAATGCCCTCCTGTCTTCCCATAAATCCTTTAGTAAAAATTTACATCATTGCTTTTGGAGTTGGATTTCTGTTTTTTCAGGTAACATGATATATGACAGAATGTGCTGAGTGAGGGTATGACATGTGAGACATGTGTCTATTTGTGTCTCTCCCTCCCCCCTCCCTCCTGCAGACCTTCAGTTCCTCAAGGGCAGGAACCACATGTTATCCATCTCCTTTTATCTGCTGTAAGAGCATTTAGAATATGGCAGGATGAATGAATGGATGGATAGCAAGAAGAGAAGAAAGGAGACAAGAGGGGCATGGTCTCTGGCCCTGGGCACTCACAGACTCTCCATGGCCAGAGGACCAGAGGCAGAGCAAGTGATGGGGAGGACAGAGATGAAGGATGGCCTTGGGGAGATGGAGCAGACTGGGAGGGCTTCATGACGGGATGGATGTGGGAGAAGGCGGAGCTGGTGGCGGTGCTGAGGTTTCTAACCTGAGATCCAGAAAAGCAGATTGCGGGGTGGGGGGTGAGGAGACAATGAGCTGAGGTTGGCTTATTTGGAACTTGAGGTGCTAGGGGGCTAGACTGGGAAAGAGGAAAAACAGGGATTTTTCGGCCCAATGATAACAAAGACTCTAACATCAGGAAGGTAAGTGCTGGTGGGAAGGTTGGATTCGTGTTGGCCCACCCACACCAGCGCCTGGGTCCCAGCACAGCAAAGAGCACCAAGGGCCAAAGTGGGCAAGTGGGTTTGGGGAGGGAAGCTGTAGCAATTGAGTGGCGAGTCTACTCATAAAAACGAACAACAAATTGCTCACTGCAGTCAGTGGACGAAAACTACCTGCTTCAGATCAACTCAGGAATGGAAAGAACACTTACTATGAGCCTGTCTCCAGCTCCCAGGGGCCAGGGAAAGGAAAGAAATCAGCAAGAGCAATCCTATCCTCCCCACCCTCCCTCCTCAGCCTCCTCACCTGCTTGTGCAGCCAGCCCCTCACCACCACCGGAACATTGGGGTTCCTCCGAATGGCTTGGTCCCTCTTCCCAAAACTGTGGACTTTATTGCTGGACTTGATGATCTAGGGAAAAGCAGACTTGAACTCTAGCAGCTGTGAGGATTTAGGGAGGCACCAAAAAGCACACGTGCGATGGGAGAGCTGCAGGCTCCCTCGGCCTCATCTCCGCGCCAGCGCCCTTTGATCAGAAGAACAGTGAGGAGACATGGACCAGGCGTGCACATGGCCACTGCCTTCTAATTAATAGGCGAGCCCCAGACCTGGCAAGCTCCCCATCTGGGTCACAGAGGAAAAAATTTAAAGGGATATTTCAATCAACTTCCACCAGCAGCTGTTGGCCCCAATACGTCCTACAGCTTTCTGGAACAAAGCTACTTCTTGGTCACAGACTTTGCCAATCACCAGATATGTATCCCAGCTAGCTGGGGGCGGTCTCAGCACTTCTCCCCTGCAAGGCTGGCTCCTTTCCCTGCTCCCACAGCTCGAGCACAAGAAACCTCTGGGCCTTATTCAAGGGCACCCTTCCTCGGGGCCATCTGTCACAAAGTTCTCCAGGCCGTCTCTAACACAAGATATGCCTGGAAAGTGAAGATGCATCAAGGGACAGGATGCCAGTCCTGGTTCTGTCAGCAATCACCTGTTTTCCGGGACACGGGACACACCCCCAACTGGCCTCGATTTCCCCATCTATTAGTGCGGGAGAATACTTCTCATGTGTGTCCTTCACAAAACTAGGGTCAAGGTCAAATGGGCTTCTGATTACAAAGGGGCTCGGCAACTATAAAAGAAGGGACAGAAAACATGAGCAGCCAGGAGCTCACCTTGGGGCCGGGTTTGGCCTCCACGGTGGACGTGGTCCCAGTCGTGGACGTTTCGCTGACCATGCTGGACGGTCTTTGGTTTCTCTCTTGCTTTGACATATGTGGATTTGGCCTGTGGGGAAGATAGGAGAGTCCAGTGATTAAGTGCCAGACTGCGGTAGGAAGTGGAATCTGAGATTCATTAGGACCGACCTTTTGGGGACCACTTGACTCCAAACTGCAGCCTGAGGGCCAGGGTGCCCAGCCTACCCATGTGCTCCATGGAATCAACAGGATGACAGCGGGGCACATCTCCACAGCATGACACCCCACAAAGGGGCCAAGGCAGTCATCCCTGCCTGTTGTCCTAAGGTCCCCACATTTACTCTCTAACTCACGTGTCTATGGCAGCTGCCCCATCACATGGTCACACACCACTCTTCACAACAAGAGCAGTCCATACCCCTTACACACACACTCTCCATCTCCCTGGCTCACAAAAGAAGCTGCTTATAATTAGTAACAAGAAATCACTTCTGAACACATCCACACCCCCAGATACACACAGAGACTCACTTACATAAACGCCAGTAGGGCCTGCCTCCCAAAATAGACTACTCAACAAAGAGTCCTATTCTGGGAACACTCCAGTTGCCCCAAAATAGAGCCATTGGAGATATTAACCCCTTGAGCCATGCCTGGAGAGCAGGAAGAATGAAGCATGCCTGGGTCCCCATGAGAACCCCGGGTACGTCCCAATCAGCATCCAGCGACATCATTCCTCCCACTTGCCCTGGAGGACCAGCACTTTGGGGACAACACTCAAGAGACGCCTTGCAGAGCCCTTCTCACCTGCCTCCACAGAGCCCCAGCATTTGCCAGTTTTTCAAAGCAGCGAGGGGGCAAATGCCTCCACACAAATTCAATGCTATCCTTGAATGGCTCGGGGCTGAGTCCCAGATGCTGCTAACTATGGGACCAGTGAGCCTTCCGCAAAGCTCAAGTCCCAGAGGAGGCTGGGTTTTGTCCAATGCTCTGCCAGGCAACAGGGTCGAGGCGGCTGCAGGAAACTGAGGCTCTTTGCCTGAGGAGTGGAGAAAATCGGATCTGGAGGCTGGGCCAGGACCCCTCAGAGATGGAGATGAAAGATCCCAGGCAGGACACAGCTGAAGATGGAGTGCTCTGATGGCGTTTCTCCAGCCTCACCGTCACAGAGGTGCTACGAGGGAAAATCCTAGCTTCCACCTTAGAGATAGGCTGCTTCCTTGAAAAAACATTGCTGCTTGAAGAATAAGCGGTCCTTCCCACGCCCCAAGCCAGACCCCGGGACCCTGCACCATCAGGGAGGTTCTTCACAGAAGGACCACAGCCGCGGGCACCAGCTTTCCGAGGGGCTGGGTCCTGCCGGGTGCTTGGCAGCTGGAGATGCAAGTCCCTCAGGCCGAAGGCTCATCACTGGCTCCTTATAGGCTCAGACACTCACTCCAGTTTCCCCACCCATGAAAAAGGTCCCATGAAAAGAAAAGTAAGGAACTGTGCTGTATGCTGCCTATCGATGTCCTATGGTGGGTGTGACATCGCACTATAACACTGTATGATGTTACCTTGGGGAGGGGAGCTCCATCCCAGCCAGACTTTTATCACTGCTCCCACTCAGAGAATGTCCCCACACTCAGCCCCCCTCGCTGTTGGCAGAGGCTGCGGGCAGCAGGGATCCTCGCCGACTGGTGGTGGGCAGGGGCCTTGAGAGGCTGCCTTGTCTAGGCCCTGCCTCCAGAAAGAACTATGTCCCTAACGCCTTCCTGGAACCTGGTCTTGCCTGACTTTTCAGATTTCTAAGGTGTGAGTCAAGAAGAAATCTCGGGTCACCTCTGTTATGGCACCTATATCTCTAAGCTGAAATTCAGCACTTACTGTGTAACAATGAAAAAGGTTTGGTTGAGAATTTATCAAGTTTAATCTGCTCCCACTAAAGACTTATTCAAGACTTATAGAGAATATTTGAGATATATTAAGAAAAGCTGAAAGAAAAAATCACCACAGTCCCACTACCCAAAGGAAAATCATTTTTCTAATACTTGTTATATTTACTTTCATTCGTTTCTATATACCTGTTTTTGTTTTTGTTTGGGGGAGGGGGTGGCTTTTTGTTTTTATATAACTGTGATCACACTGTTTGTGATTTTGCATCTTGATTAAGAAAACTTATTATAAACATTTTCTCCATTCCTTTAACTCATCCACATCATTTCAAGTGACTGTACCAGCTTCCATCCATTAGCTACGCCACTCCTCCATGGTGGGACAGAGAAAGGATGATCTGGATTTGTGACTGCCCAGAAAACCCAGGACAGGTGGCCACTTTGCCATTTTTGCACCTTACCTCTGCAGCGCTGACTTTAATCATCTTCTTGCATGCCAACACCTTCTCCTCCCCACATTGGCTTTTGAAATGCTGGCGGGTCGAGGAGCTCCCAGGCCAATCGTATAGGAAAAAAGATGACTGCTCTGCAGTGTTGGGTGAGTGAGGGTACAACCACCACCTATGGAGCCCTATTTCAGCTGGAGGAGAAGTGGTTGCGGGCCCAATACTGAACATCAGGGAGGGACGGGGCGGGAAGGGGTGTCACATGAAGACAACTCCATTCTTCATGCCCACAGAGACCTCCACTAAGCCACACCCAGAGAAAGCTGGCTTGTTAGGAAGTATGACTGAGGTCCACACTAAATCTTCCTGCAGGGAGGGGACCATGGTTGTCTCCACAAATAAAGAGTGTGCCTTCCCCAGGGCTCCCCATGGGCAGGGACAGCTCCCAGCTGAAGAACAGACTGGCCCCTGACCTGGCTCGCTGATACAATGAGGAGCGCACAGCTACCCCCTAAGCCAAGTACCAAGATCTGCCTTCAGAGGATGTTCCTCTGAATCTCCTCAATGTGGGTTATGATCTCGTGGGTCCTCCAGGGGTGACTATGACTTCTGGAAAGAACTGGAAGTTATCCAGAATTACAACACACACACACAAATAAACAAAACACTGATGGATGGCCATGCTTGGGGCACCACTTGGTATCCAAAAATGAGAACATGAAAAAGAATCTCAAAAGCAATTTTCTCACTTGGCTGAAAGCTGGTTCTGTTGGAAACTTCTAGAGGCTGTTTACCATATCGTTTTAAGCAACGGGAACATCAGTGGCGCCCGTGTGAAGCCTCCGCAAGAGACAACACTGAAGGGATCATCACTCAAGTGGATGTACGCCTTCTGGTACATTTGCTTCAGTCAGTTACCTCTTAAGGTATGTCCCCACTTTATTTTTAATTTTTTGTTAATCCTTACCTGGGGATATTTTTTCCATTGATTTTTTTTTTGAGAGATTAAAAAGAAGGGGGAGACACACACAGAGAGAAACATTAATATGAGAAAGACACATCAATTGGTTGTCTCAGACATGCGCTCCGACAGGGGCCAGGGATCAAGCCTGCAACCAAGGTACGTGCCTTTGACTGGAATCGAACCTGCAACCTTTCAGTCTGCAGGCCAATGCTCAGGCAGGTCAGGATACCCCACTTTAAAGCCTGGCGGGAAGACACGATTTGACCTCAACTCCTCAGACCAAAGTATACTCCCGGCAAGGTTCACCCAAGAACCCTCCTCCTCCCCCAGAAAAGTGCATGTGCCCTGAGCTGAGCAGCTGGGAAGATGGCTCGGTTCCCAACAGCCTGCCCTTAGGCACGGGAGTCACACAGACCTCGGGAGAGGAGACGAAACCCTGCACATGCTATGGGGAGGCAGACTCTCATGTCATTAAATCAAACCTATTAACTTAAAAGCCTGCTGGCCAGGTGTCTGTGCTATCTGGATTCCCAGAGTACAGTGGGATGATTCGAACAAAGACATTTTCCTGGGTTTGGGCTGCACGAATGCTGGTTATTTTGCTGGAAGGCTCTGGGCTGAAGCTCAAAACAGTGAGCTGGAGTTGTAACTCAATTGCCTCCCCGCTGAAAGGAACAAATAAAGTTAGGAGCAGACAAAACTCAGTCTGGAGAAGCTCAATAGGAAAATGACTTCATTCTACGCTGCACTGCCTCAAGGATGTGTCAGGTGAGCCTGGGCGGGGAGTTACTCTCTCGTCCTTCCGTTTCTGTTGGTAAAAGGAGCTGCTGCTGCTTCCTACCTATAAATGCACACAACCCTGACAGAGAGGGCGGCGAGAAAGGGAGGTTCTACTTCAGAAGCTATTTCCTTCTGTTGGGTCTGAACTTAGGTGAGTTTGGTTGATGGGACCCTCAGCTGCCTCTCCGTCGACATTGAGAAGAGGAGCAGCTGAAGTGGAATCACACCAAGACCCTTCCCTACCTACTGTCATCACAACAGGTAGGTCACCAACCTTAAGGACAGGTACACAAGGTCAAGCAAGCACAGGGGCTGGGCTATACTTGTCCAGCACCTACTATGTGTCAGGCACGTTGCCCACATTACCTCCCATAACCTGCAAAGCCAGTTTTCCCATCTCCACTTCATAGAGGAGGAAATGGAGGCTCAGGGAGATTTCATGACTTGCCCAAAACGGAAGTTGGACTCCACAAACCTTGGGCCAGAGACACCAGCCCACAGCCCAGTCTCCAAGTCTGACAGAGGCAGGCTTTGCTCTTCTCAGCCCCAAGACTACCCCCGAAACCCAGAGGATCCTGGGGTGCTGGGAAGACCAGGAGCCCAGAAAAACTGGGTCTCAACGAAGCTCTGCAGCTGACGGACTCCTCCACAAGTCACATCACGCCTCTGGGCCTCAGTTTCCGTTACTGTAGAATGGGGTGAAAACCACTCTTCTCTCACAAGGCTGCTGTATGAACTGAAACAATGCTTAGAAAACCATGAAGAATGGCTCTAAATGAAAAGCAACTTGTGGCTGTCACCAATGGGTCCCCCAGAACTTAAATCTTATTTTTTATTTCCAAGGCACTTCTCTCTAGAAAGCTCAAAATGCCAAACAATTAACTTCTGAGCAACAATCATTTCCTACAAATACACCAATAAACACTTTATCTGGGGCTTCTTTAAAATGTAGTAACCTTGTGGCTGGGGGACTGGACTCCCATCCTTTCCCCGAGGGAATAATAATGCCAAGAGTCTTCAA